GACATAGGCAAAAACACTCCCAAACATAAACTTAAGTTTACGTTCTCTGAGAATTTAGAAGATATGGAGATATGCATTTGTGAATTTTTGATCTCCGGTACAGCAAATCTTTATAAAAAAAGAGAAACTTTAAAAAGCTATACGGAAATGACCGTGTATTAATGATTGCAATGGTGTTTGGGTAATTTAAACGCTTTTACAAGTTGCAAGTGTAAATAAATAAAACTAATTTTTTCTTGAGGTAAAATACAGCGCAAAATAAATAGCCACGAGAATTGAATGAAGATGAAAAAATACTTTCATCTTCCTTTCAATCATCTTTGGTTTTCGCTTTGATCAATCCCAATTCCTGTATGACTTTATATTGGTCTGGTATTTCCATGAGCGCATGAAGAGCGAAGGAAGTATCTGGATGTTTCGCATTGCGTATAACAGCCTCGTATTCAACAAACTGAAAATTGTCGAACCGTCTTTGCGGCAACATATCGTCATACTCATGCATACGATCCCATGGACCGTCTCCTACTCCAACAACAATGATCGAAAGTGGAAAATACGACGCCTCTACAATCGCTTCCCTTGTGCTACGTTCGTGTTCCTCTACAACCTGACCATCAGCTACTATCACCAAAATGTTGTATGATTTATCCTGCTTGACGATCTCTATAGCTTTGTTGATGATCGGCGCAAATGAAGTCGGACCACTTAGAGATACTCGGCCAACAACATCGGTGTACTGTTTCAAAACATCGCACAGCCCTTGGCACGGAGTGCCGTCCTCGTTGAAACTAAACACGCTATGACCTTTAGTCACGGAATCACCGAATCCGAATGCTGGAATTAGCTTGTCTCCGTCAAACGGTTCGAGTGTTTTGGTTATAACTTGCACAACACGCTGGTAGGGGTTCAACCTTTTGGTGTTGTTGAAAACGTGATGCAATGACCGTCCACCGAAGCTTTTTCTTCCTTGCCATTCGTTACTCGCCGTGAAATCAATACCAATAATAAGATTGCTCGACTCTAAACCAGCTTTTTTAATTGCACTTGAAACTTCTTTCACCGATGAAAATCTGTCCTTAATAGCGTGAAATTCATTCAGGCCGAGAGTCTTACACAAAGTGGAACCTCTGAACCGTTTCGAAACCACCTTGTAAGTTTGAAGTGATTCCTTCGGTCGAAAGTAGATGGAGTAGACAACAAATCCGAAAATAGCAGATGTAAAGAACAGTATAACATCTATTGGAAAACCAAGCTCCATTTCCTCTCCAAAGTGATTTGTGGAAAATGAATCAGCAAAGCAACTAAACAATTAATTCACGCACCTGGAGCGGCCATGACACTCTCAAAGGTTACGTATAATTCTGTGTCGTAAGGGAAAGCGTGACAGTTGTTGGATTGAATAACACAACGTTTCCTTGTTGATATTGTTGAAACTCACTGAAAGTGTTTTTTAATTGTGCTTCGCCTTTTTTATATTCTGTAAAACAGTATAGAATACGTGCGTTGAATGATCATAAGCTTTGTTTCTATTAAGGTTTCCTACGCTCATGCATTAAAATATCACCTTGTCACGGCTTGCGGAAAAACGTCACAGTTTAAGGACATACGTGTAAGGAAACGAAAATGATCATGAATGCACACGATTTACATGGATCGTTCGCGACCAACTTGGAAATCTTATGCTAAAATCTTAGGTGCATTTTCAAACTCAGTGTTTTACAAGATGTTGTCCAGACGTGCACGGGTAAGAGCCTACGAAGAAAAGACTTAGAACTTATGCAATTTTAACACGTACTTTGAGGCGTGATGTCGGTCTTACATTTATATTGCTAATCAAAGTCCAAGAGACTTTCATATAAGACATTCTCCGTCCTCTTAGAGTTTGTTTACATCAGACAACCGTGATAAGCAAAACGTTGAAAAAAAAAAACAAACAAACAAACAAAAAGAAACTAACATCTAGATCTTTTTTGAAGGTTTAATAAGGTTCTTTATCGCTTATTTACGTGGCCTACTGAACACCCATATTCAAATACACCGCTCTCTTTACCACAAAATAATGACGCAAAGAAACTTTATCGAGAGAAGCAAAAATTTAAGTTTTATTCGATGAATATCGCCATAAGCCACAAATCACGCCAGAGATATTAAGTAACACAGGTGTTTGAAGACTGTCATTTTAAAAGTTGGATTAATTAGGAAGATGTTCGAATTGTACTCGACACTTAAAATTATCCTGGCCAAATTTCAACTGAGCCGATTTAGCGGTTTTTGCTCTACTTCGACATTTAATCGAACAAATTTGTTGATCCATCTGTTTTAAAACACATGTACACCTGTCGCTTGCGGCCACGAAATGAATGATCTCGTATCATAAAATGCAGATCAGTTAAGCATTGAAAGAGGAGATGAAAAAATAATAAATATTTTCTCGCGACAAAAGCCTCTCTTTAATCTCAGTGCGGGGAGATGTCGGTCCGTAGGTGAAAAGTTAAGTGACGTGATTGACTTAAAATAACTATCAATACTGAATTGTGACCTCTCTAATTGTGTTTTGACTGAGCTATGATTTCGTGTTAATTTGAATATACTAATTTGAAGAAGAACGGAGATGCAGAAAATCAAGTAATAAAGTCAGGTATTCAAAGAAAAACTTCAAAAAATTATTATTTTGAAGCTAGGAGTTGACTATTCGACAATTTTTGATTAATTTGAATTGAATGATCTAGATCTAGATAATAATGTTCATGAAGGAAAATGACTGTTTTTTTTTTGTTTTGTTAATTATTTTTCAAGAAATAAAAAAACGATCTTCGCAGATCAGCAGTTATAATTGCAATTCCACGAGAGAAGCCGGAAAAATTCAGGATTTTATGAGGTTCGAACTCTTGCCTTCAAATATTGCAGTCAGGTGTTTCAAAACATGATCATTTCGAATTAAGCAATAACGAAAGAGAAAGAGGTTTTTCTTTTTTAATAAAACTTTCAATAAACATAACGCATCCAAAAGAAGACAATAGTGTCCATAACCAGATGCTAGCGTCCGAATGTCTAATAATAATGTTAATTAATTAATTAATAATGTTTAAATCGGAATCTAGTAACTTGAGTCAGACACCATTATCAAACACCGGAAATTAGTGTAAAAAATCAGACGCTATTGCCTGAAATCGGACACTAGTGTCTTACAAATCAGACACTGGTGTCTAAAATCAGACGCTACTGAGTTTCTAAAATCGGACACTATTGTCTAAAATCGGACTCTAGTGTTTATAATCGGAGTATAATGGCTAGAATCGGATACTACTGTCTGAAATCGGACTTAAATGTCTAAAATCGGACGCTAGGGTCGAAAATGAGACGTTTCTGTCCTAAAACGGAATCTGTTGTGGTGAGTGACGCGTTACTGTTCGTAAACGGACACCAGCGTCTGATATTGGACGTAAGTATTGCGTATTTTTTGGTCCTCGACTAGATTAGACTGACTCTGAAAGACGTTTAATATAAAGGCCCTGGCCTTAGGAAACACTTTCTTTTCTGTTTATCCAGATAAATAATTTGTATCGAGAGGAACCCTCCGTGTAAGGAGCCCCTAGTAACAAATTCCCTGGTGGAGTGAAGCTCATTTTTCACTCCAGTAAAAACAGTTTGTTTATGAGAAGCCATTACCACAAAGTTTGCTGTATGATGAACCGCAATTTTCTAATTTTTTCCCAACCTTTAACTTCCAAAAGTTATTGACATGTATAACTTCTTCCTATTATATCCATACAATATCCAGCAGACAGCTAATGAGAAAACTAAAACTGATCAACTAGAAGTTGTTATCTTGATCTTAGACTAAATTCTCGTAACTAAGGGGTTTAGCCGCTGTTCAGGCTTTACCCGACGACATCATATTATAAAATCTATTTATTCCAAAATACTTAATCAAAGTCTTCCTCCTTTCCTCTACAGTAATCTGTCCCCGTCCACATACACAGTTACGTCTACTAATATTTTTTTCACCTCCAACGATAACGGTTATCGCATCTAAATCTACAGTTGCTATAAAATGCGAAGAGTTCACTTGTCATTTCTTCTCAATAAACTTTCATATCCAGCTCAGTGCCCTTCCGAAAAATCATCAATCAGTACCACTCCTGTCTAATTAGCAGCAGTTATGTTTCCTTCTTCAGTGTCATGGAGATCTTTTCCATAAATGTTAATACAAAAGTCCACGAAATTCCCCAAAATGAACCAAAGCACACTGAAATAAACCAAACTAACACCTGCCATTCTCACACCTTCGGATTTCAAGTTATTTTTCCTGAATCCCATTGCGAGAATTAATATCCCAGCAACGAATGCTAGAAACGGGTAGACACGCAGGAAAGCTATCCTGAATGGATTCTTGCAAGAAAAACAGCTCCATATGTCGCCTGGTATTGTAAAGCTGGAGGTTTCATTGTCATCTAAAGATTCTGCGCTTTCCATCTTTGAAAGAATGACGATGAGCAAAATTTGCAAAGTTCAAACGGTTTTGAGTGCGTTCTTCGTTATCGATGTTTCACACAAGTTGTAAAAACACTGCATTCTTATGATGAATCGGGGTCTTTTGAAGTATTTTTGTAATTAGAGCAACGCATTTCTGAAGTGTAATTTTTCACGGGTCTAAAATAGATGCCCAAAGGCCAGCGTTATTACGAATCTCTTGTTTGGTCATCCTGCTTTTAGTGCACTGTTTTTACTTTCGTTTCCCGTAATAGATTTATCTCGTTTTGTGGTTCTCTGCCGTGCCATTAGATCACAGATTCGCCTCCCAAAATGCCTTATTACATTTGACATGATGAGAGATCGAATTAAGCTGTTTGCAGTTACAGAACTCAGGTCAGGTTATCAGCCTATTATTCAATTATCAGTCTTCATTCAACAGTCCCAGTTAATTAAATAACAAATCATTACCACACTGCAGGTAAACGCTTGCCCCAAACAGGGTACTTCCAATCTGGGGACCTGGGGGCTAAAATTAGCAACCGTGCTAACAATATATATTCGTTCCCAAGCTTCTTGACGGACAGCCGGTATGGTGTCTGCTTTTTCTATGCTACTGAATTGAGCTTTGCGGTTAACGTGGGGTGAATGCCAAAGCAGCTCCTTGGCAAATGAAATGTTAAGCCAATTATAAGCTTAAATTGAAGGCACGTAGGAGTAGTCCGGCCAACTTCTTGTCAATCGCCTTGAAAAAGTGAGCGGCAAACGCATTACATCCCAGAATTAAGAAATGGGTGATTTAATTCAACTAACATGGACGGTTCCCTTCTTATCGTTCCCTGCTACGTTTATCGAAGCCTAACAGCAAAGACCATCTAATTTTTAGAGACTATGACAATGACTGAAATATAAGTCCTGATGGCTATTTTCATAACATCTGTACAGAACATGACTGATCATTTAAATCTGATCAAAGTACTTCACCTTCTCGGTCATCCTAACTCAATACTCGAATATTTTACTTGATCCTGCGAGGAAATTAAGGCTTTCTGTCTAAGGATATTTCTAATTTTGTTCTGTTTCAGCTTAATTAACAACTAGATCCATTTGACACAAAGTAAATGAAGCACCTAACTCTCGATTTAACCGTTCATGATCGCGCTCACTAGAATTAAAAACGTTTCTAAATACTTCCAATTTGAGTGTTCGCTGTCGTTAACGGTGAAACAAAAATCATCTTCACAAGAAAACCGTAACTTGGTTTTCATGCAACGAACCCATCTCTGGCCTCTTCTGATTACACGAAGGGCGTTCGTAATTGAACGTGTCAGTACCACCTTAAAAAAAAACATACACAACCAAATTTAAACATGATTGATGAGTACGCGAGTCGCTGTCTTTGATCTGATAAATCTTTACAATTAGAAAACAAAGTAATCAACAAGTAATGCATGCCGATTTACTCATGTTTACCTGAGATTGTTGTATTAAAGTTAATACGTTAACTCGGACATCTTACAACAATAAAAGCTCTATATTAGCGTAGAAGATACTCAGTATTTACCCATAAGTCGACATAAGAAAGCTATTAAATTGTTTCAGTTCGTATTTACCACTGGCAGCATTTAATACTAAAATGGCTTTGCGTGCCTCTGTACACGACTATATCTCGTTAAATTGAAACTATGTGAACAGGAACAACCCAATTCGCTCTTTTGACCTCTCCGCTGGCTTCTACATTCGCCACAAGGGTAAACACGCGGCGTTATTTCAATATCTTTAATTCACAAACTTAAAAGAGTAAAAAACAACTTTGAAACTACCTTAAGCCAAAATATCGGTAAAAAACTAAAACATTTTATTGGGTCGCCGAAAACAAACGAATCTTCTCTCAAATTCCTCTATATTGATGTACAGTAATCCGGATTTGGACTGCATTCAGGGAATCGAAAGAAAAGTCGTTTCAAGTTTTGTTGTAAATTTTAAAAGTGTGAAACCTTTGGTGAAAAAGCGGAAATTCGTTTTCTTAAAATTTCGTGGTGAACATCCTTTTGTTTAGCTAGTTCAGGCGGAAGAACAATTTTTTTCTTGAGTATTTTTTGGTTTTCGGTTTGGAAGGGTAACCTGTCTGTGTAAATGATCGATAACTTCAGTTGTTGACCTTACATTAATTTAAACTCCCGTACGTGACGTCTGTGGAACGTTTCCGGCGAATTGTACATAAAGATAATCACGACACTAATAGGCTATTTAGAAAATATAGTGAAAACCGCGGTTATAGCATACCAGGACAAGAAAAGCATTAGTCGACTTAAAAACATCAGAAGCTCACATTGAAATTTATAACACGCAGTGAAGAAAAAATGGCAAGCGACAAGGAGGTGGGAGGAGAAGAAAAACCTCAAGTTGTTTCTCAGTTGGAGCCGAGTAAACGGCTGTGCCTCTCAACACATCTCATCTATCTTTACTTGTTTCCCGTTTGCGCGTTTCTAGCTTCTTTGGTTCTTGTCTCGCTCGCATTCAAGACACCACGTCCGGGAATCTCACTTGGGTCCAGTTTCCTACTGTTTATACTTGCCATTGTGTATTGCGCGATTGCAAATGCATTGAGGTATTTTTGCTTACCGAGCGACGAGCGAGATTCAGACAGTGAAAAGAGTTATGTAACTGTTGATATGACTTCTTTGGAAGAAGGGGAGCTTGCTATCAACACCGATGCGTAGGAGAACACGAACTTTCATTACTGAGAATTCGACTTTACATTGCTAATGACAGTTAACATGTCTATTCATATCGAAGTGACCAAAAGAGTGTGTGCTGTTGCTAAACCTGTGAGAGAACGATGGCCAACAAAAAGACCATTTCAATGCCTCTATGAAGCAACTTCTTACCCCTTCAGCATCTATATTTGAGTCTAGCACCGATGTATTGGATGTAAATGTGAACGATCAAGTTGAAGAACGCGTAAAATAGGACAGGTACGAATGAGTTCATAAAGAAAATAAAGTCCAGCTACTGAGAGAAAGAATTTCATCATGGTTCAAACTTCAGTGCGCACTACTGTTTGCCAAAACCTTGGTCATATCAAAGTTATTGCTTGAATTTGCCTCAATTAAGCGTCCAGTGGCACACATTGATGACTGCAAACATGCAGGAGACGAAGAGTTTTAATTTGAAGGACTTTAAAGGTTTTCGACGATACTTTTGACGTCACTTAATCTGGAACTAAACTACCTTTGTCGGCTCGGACTACAGGACCGAAAGGCTTCATGGGTCCTTCAACTGAGTTGTCATTTTTATAGGGGACCGGTCATATTTATCGC